AAGAAAGAAATTAGCCACACAACTAAAAAACATAGAAAAATTAGCTGGGCATGGTGGTGCATGCCTGTAGTCCAGCTACTTGGGAGGCTGGGCAGCAGCATTGTTTGATCCCAGGAGTTTGAGGTCACTGTGAGCTAGGCTGATGCCATGGCACTCGAGCATGGGCAACAGAGCAAGACTCTGTCTCAAAAAAGAAATAATAAAAAAAAATATCAATATGGTAAGGCATAACCAGGCTTTGCAGCAGGGGAGCAGTATGTGGAGCTGGGGTGGGTATGAGCAGAATAGCTCTGCTCTTGGTTGGTAAAGGAAGGAAGACAAAAAGAAATCACTCTGACTAATTTATTTTCTTTCTTTTTTTTTTTTTGAGACAGAGTCTCATTCTGTTGCCCAGGCTAGAGTGCCGAGGTGTCAGCCTAGCTCACAGCAATCTCCAACTCCTGGGCTTGAGCAATCCTTCTGCCTCAGCCTCCCAAGTAGCTGGGACTACAGGCATATGCCACCATGCCCAGCTAATTTTTTTCTATATATTTTTATAGTTGGCCAATTAGTTTCTATTTTTTTTAGTAGAGGTGGGTCTTGCTCTTGTTCAGAGTGGTCTCCAACTCCTGAGCTCAAACGATCTACCCAGTCGGCCTCCCAGAGTGCTAGGATTACAGGCGTGAGCCACTGCACCTGGCCTCTGACTAATTTCTGTGTCTCTTATCTTCCTCTTACACTGCTTCCCCTAATGTCTTTCTAAAATAGCCTTAACAATTGTTATATAAACCTATTATGGACTGGGCCGTAAAAGAAAAAAAAAAAACCTATTATCTTTAAAATGGTGCTAAGGAAGAGCAATTGCTTCCCTTTCCCCAGTTCTGCTTCCCTGAGTATAACTATTAAAATGTTGTGGGGGGAAGTCTGAGCGTTTGAGGGGTGAGCCATCCAAAACACCAGTGAAATCCCAGAAAACAAGCTTAAAGTCTTTCCAGATGTGATCACATGTGGTAAACCCTTGACTTCAGGCAATATGTAATTTTTTTTTTTTTTTTGAGACAGAATCTCACTCTGTTGCAGGGGCTAGAGTGCAGTGGCCTCAGCCTAGCTCATAGCAACCTTAAACTCCTGGGCTCAAGTGATCCTCCTGCCTCAGCCTCCCAAGCAGCTGGGCCTACACGAATGCACCACCATGCCCAGCTAATTTTTTCTATTTTTAGTAGAGACAGGTCTCGCTCTTGCTCAGATCAGTTTTGAACTCCTCACCTTACGCAACCCTCCTGCCTCGGCCTTCAGAGTGCTAGGATTACAGTGGGGAGCCACTATGCCGGCCTAGGCAATATGTAATTTAACTACAAGATGATGCCTATCTTACCCCCAACCCATCCGAGAGGCTCTTATATTACTTGATACCTTTTGTGAATCTTTATCACAATATGCAAGCAATATGATTCAGTTACACTCTGAAGTCTGCTTTATAAGAATAGTCATTATTATTGTGCACCTTCATATATTATTCTATATTACTCCTTTTTTTTTTGATATAGAATCTCGCTCTGTTGCCCTGGCTAGAGTGCCATGGTATCAGCCTAACTCACGGCAACCTCAAACTCCTGGACTCAAACAACCCTTCTGCCTCAGCCTCCCGAGTAGCTGGGACTACAGGCATGCACCACCATGCCTGGCTAATCTTTTCTATATAATTTTAGTTGTGTGGCTAATTTCTTTCTATTTTTAGTAGAGACGGGGGTCTTGCTCTTGCTCAGGCTGGTCTAGAACTCCTAACCTCGAGCGATCTCTCCCTCTCAGTCTCCCAGAGTGCTGGGATTACAGGCGTGAGCCACTGCATCTGGCTGCTGTATTACTGTTTACACCTATATAGCCATGGCTTTTTGCAAGGAGATTTCCTCAAAACCAGTTGTATATAATTTTTACTGAGGCCTGTTTGCAATTATAATGCTGAACATGAATATTATTATTACTAATTTTTTAAAAAAGATGAGTGTACCGCTGTATTGCTCGCTGTATTGCTCAGGCTGGATTTGAAGCCCTGGGCTAAAAGGTTCCCCCTGCCTCAGCCTCCCACGTAGGTAAGACTATAGGCTTATGCCACTGAGCTCCAGTTTACCATGATTACTTTATTCTTAATGTTCTTGATAATATTAAAGCACAAAATGCCACAAATGGCAAATACTAATTAACTACAAATAAAAAGAATCTGGGACCGTACCGAATCTATTGGCCTCAGTAGTCTCTCCCACCACCACTTATATGTGTTGCATATTAAGACAGGAAAAATTTAGGAAGATAGCTATTGTGATCATCAATATAACCATGACAAACCAACTTGATATCTGACATCAGTTCTTAATACTCACATTCTGTTTGTCGCTCTCCATCTCTCTGCTATACTAAGAATTGACTTTTTCTTCAATTCCTCTTCAGGGTACTGCTTCCTGTAAATTGTAATTAGCTAGTTATTAATTCACTCCATCTACTTAAGCTCCTTGAGGGAAAGGCTGTGATTTAGCCCCCTGGTCAATATGCACTCCAATAAATACTCCTGAAAGGAAATAAAACCTCATATAATCTCATTCTAATGATGTCTTAGATTAACTCAATTCTGGGGTCTTCAACAAAGCTCTTTCTACTTGTCTGGCAGCCAATGGGAAGAATTTTACCAGGTTGAGGGTTTGGGGGAGATAAAGTAGCTGAATATAGTAAAAATGGCTCTCCAATATTTTGAGTCATTTCTTTGTCACCAACTAGCAGTTTCTCCATCTAAAAAATGAGCAGGAATTGGATTAGGTGATCTTGCTGTCATAAAATTCTGACTTAATTTATTCTGCCACATAAAAAGTAAAATATTTGAAACAAGCCATCTCCTTGTAGCTTCACCTTAGCCTAAACTGCTTTAGTGAGCTGTAGTGAAATCAGAAATCATGATTTTGCTCAGTTACCTAGTCTGAGTCTGTTTCTTCTTCTACCAGCTCTCCTGATTTGGATGGACAGTTTTGAGGATTAGCTGAGATGTGGTATGTAGATGCACTAGTATTATTTCCTGAATTTATTAGGAGAAGGAGGAGAATTAGGACAGAATGTCCCTTTTACTATTCAACACCCTCCTTATCACCTTTTCCTTTTCCTTTCTCTCTGCTATCTTCCCCGCCCCCAGTCTCATCGCTCTTCCTTGCTCTGTTGGCTAGTTTTTTTCTGGGTCATTCTCATTTGGAAAAAATAAATAAATAAAACAAAACAACCCCCCCACACACACAACTCTTTTAACTCAAATAAATACACTTTTCTTAAAAAGCTGACCAGGCACGGTGGCTCATGCCTGTAATCCTAGCACTCTGGGAGGCTGAGGCAGGAGGATTTAGTCGAGGTCAGGAGTTTGAGACCAGTCTGAGCAAGAGCAAGACCTGTCTCTACTAAAAATAGAAAAATTAGTCGGGCTTGGCGGTGTGCGCCTGTCATCCCAGCTACTCGGGAGGCTGAGACAGGAGAATCACTTGAGCCCAGGAGTATGAGGTTGATGTGAGCCAGGCTGACACCACCGCACTCTTAGCCCAGGTGACAGAGGAGACTATGTCTCAAAAAAAAAAAAAAAATTTTTTTTTTTAAAAGTGAGGTACTATTTTTGACCAGAAGATTTGGTATATATAAAAAAAAAAAAAAAAAAAAAAAAGTGAGGTACTATTTAGTTATTTGTAAAATTAACTCAGACTAACTTCTTGAAAACCAATGGAAACTCTAAATTTAGTATAAGTATTAAGCTGAGACAAAACTAATAACAGTATTTTGCCAAGGGCATTTGGTCTTACTCCCCTTCTGTCACATTTCAGGAATAAAGCACAGAATGTATCCAGCAGTGAAAGAACGAATGATCCGCAGTTGCCTGAGAAACTTCCAATTTTTATCTTGCAAAAGCCTACCAAGCTCATCCCATCTTCATGGCACTTCAACTCCTGGGAGACATCTTTCAAGGCCATACAGTTCCCTCGTTAGTCCACTTCTCTGTGCCTGGGTCACTCTTCCTAGCCTCCCTCACCTCACTCCCTTCAGGTCTCGGGTCAGAAGACACTTGCTCAGAGAGGCCCCCTCAGCCCCGCCCCTCCCCCAGCCCAACGTTACACAGTCCCCTCCGCATCTCCTAGCCCTCCTGTGTTCTTTTTCTTAACATTTACCACTGTCCTGGCATTTCCTTACATATGTCTACTCATTTTATTGTCTGTCTCTTCCCTAGAATATACGGGCCAGGAGGGCAAGGCTTTCGTCCGCCTTGTTTCCTGTGGGATACCTGTACCTGAGCCGGGTCGGGACTTAGTAGGTGCTCAGAGAATGACAAATATTCTCCCCCAGCCTCCAACGCCAGTTTCTCCAGCGCGGCAGGACCCTCCTCCCTCAGCCGGGCCCGACTCTGAGCAACCTCCCACCCCTACGGAGCCCCACTCGGATGCTCGTTACCCCGCCCGCCGGCCGCGGGGACGGCGCGGCTCACCCACCTCCCAGACCCGGCGGCTGCGGTTGGGCTCCGCGGCTTCGCTCAACCGCCCATCTCCCGGGCCTCCCGCGCCGCCGCGCCGCTCCCAGGCCGCCGCTGCGCGGGGGGTGCTGGGACGGCGCCGCCGCGCTGCGCGGCCGTTAGGACCCCCACGCCGCCTCGAAAGGCCGAGGGTTCTACTTTGGATGGTCCGTTGGTGTGCCCGTGAAACGTGACTCGGTTGTTCGGGCTCCCTCCACACGCCAGACATGCACCCACCTACGGTCTGAGCAGGCGTCCTGCTCGCGGTCCTGGCCACCGGGCCGACCCTGCCTCCCACTCACACACCGACGCGCCGGCGGCCGCCGCCTGGGTCCCTGTGGGCGCCCCCTCCAGCGTCTTCTTGGGACCCGGGCGGTGGGGGCGGGGGCGACCCTTTACGGGGAAACAGTTCTGGGCCCCACCATCCTTAAACGCAGCCGTTAGGAGGGTGTTAACGTTTCTGCTTTAAAAGATACCCTTGCCCCTCACCGCCTCCCGCCCGCGTGGCAGTGCCCCAGATAGCGCCGCGGGCGGCCGGCGGCGCCCGGGCTGGGAAGAGGCTGAGGGCGATGCCCGCTAGTTCTTTCGGACTCAGCAGCTCGTTGTTGATGAAAAACCATGCAGCCTTTCTCTCCATCTTCTATAAAGGACTGTCTAGAGTTTGGGGGTTAGGAGTCGTAAAGACCGACCGCCGCTGCCTCGTCGCTGCTGTCCAGGGAAGGGCCCCTGCAGATGAGCGCGAGCTTGCTTTGGAGAGATCGTTCTCTCCCGACGCAGACGGAAGACTTAACTTGGAATTACTTGGAGCTTCACCATGATAGCATGGCGTTTAGTAAAGTCTTGAGTCGGTACTTGGCAAGGGTTTTATTATTTTTTTTCATTTTATATTTTTTACTTTTTTATTTCTTTATTTTTTACTGCTACAGGTTAATCTGCTTCACCGGGATGGCAAGGGTTTTAAAAAAGAGCTACACGGCACTTCTCAAAAGAGGTTGTCCCCGTCCGTGAACAGTAAACACGAGAGAAGGTGTGCAACTGAGGCTGTGCACGGAGGCTCACGCCCGTAATTCTAGCACTCTGGGAGGCCGAGGTGGGCTCAAGGTCAGGAGTTTGAAACCAGCCTGAGCAAGAGGGAGAACCCCGTCTCTACTAAAAATAGAAAGAAATTAATTGGCCAACTAAAACTATAGAAAATATAGAAAAATTAGCCTTGTATGGTGGTGCATGCCTGTAGTCCCAGCTATTCGGGAGGCTGAGGCAGGAGGATCGCTTTAGCCCAGGAGATTGAGATTGCTGTGAGCTAGGCTGAGCCAGGGCACTCTAACCTGGGCAGCAGAGTGAGACTCTGTCTCAAAAAACAAACAAACAAACAAACAAACAAACAAACAACCACTTGAGATAGCAGTACTTGCCAAACAGAATGGCTAAAATAAAGGGTGGGGAGGGGAAAGAAAGAAAAAAAGAATGCCAAACCTGGGAGGGAATGTGGAACATCCAGTATATTGTTAATGGGGGTATAAATTGATAAACTGTTGCAACCACTTTGGAAAACTGTTTGGCAGTATCTATTAGAACATATGCCTACCATATGACTCAACAATTCCACTCCTAGGGCTGTCTACTCAACAGAAATGCACACGTGTTCACCAAAAAGACAAAAAAAGGTACTAGAATTTTCATCTCAGCAGTATTCATAATAGCGCCAAGATGGAAATAACACAAATGTCTATTAACAGGGGAATGAGGTGCCAGGAGTTGCCCGGTGGCCGAGGACTGCTCACTTCCGCGTGGGCCCTGCGGCGTCCGGCGGCTGCGCTGAGGGCTGGGCGGGCTGCAGAGTCAAGACCAAGTTCCTCAGTATACGCCTAATGGTGTCTGGGGAAGCAATGGAAGGCCACAAGGCAGAAGGGTTGCTAGATATTCTTCTACTGAACGTGGGTGGCTGTATTTACACAGCCCGGCGTGAGTCCTTGTGCCGCTTTAAAGACTATGTTGGCGTCTGTGTTCAGTGGTCGCTTTCCTCTAAAAGTAGATGAAGTCAGGGGCTTGTGTTACTGACTGCGACGGACATCTATTTAAATACCTTTTGGATTATCTTCATGGAGAAGTTCAGATTCCTACAGATGAGCAAACTCATGTGGCCCTACAGGAAGAGGCCGATTACTTTGGCATCCCTTATCCATACAGCCTGTCTGACCACTTGGCCAATGAAATGGAGACATTCTTTAAGGTCAAATATAGAACTTAAAAAGGCTTTAACAGACTTCTGTGATTCATATGGTTTAGTTTGCAATAGACCAACAGTTTGGGTTCTCCACTATCTTAACACATCTGGTGCAAGCTGCGAGAGTAGAATTATTGGTGTATATGCCACCAAAACTGATGGAACAGATGCTATTGATAAGCAGCTGGGAGGAAGATTTCAGAGTAAAAGCATTTTTAAAAGAGAGGCGGGAAATAACGTTCAGTACATTTGGAGCTATTATTTAGTGGCAGAGTTGAAGAAAATGATGGATGCCTTTGATGCTTGGGAAGGAAAAGGGGTCAGCTACTGGCGGGTGCCTCAGGAGCTGATAGAGTGCTGAACTCTGGAAGAGAGGCCTTTACTTGGAAGCCTGCATTACATGGCTCCGATTTGAAAGAGGTCACCTGTGCTGTGTTGATTACTTGTTTTGTTTTTCATCTATACTTTTACTGCCTTTATGAAGGGAAAGTGCATAACAATAGTTCTTGGCCTCACTAAGCTTATTAATCACCTAGATAAATATTCTGCCTTACCATCAACATATAGATCTTGATAAATACAAAGTTATCAAAGTTATGTAAAAAGTGGGAATAATTCTCTAAAACTGCATGTGTTGTATGTTCTTAGTGGGAAAGTGTGATTTTAAAAATACAAGTGGGTCCTCTGCGTTATTAGATGAAGAAGAATAAAAAAGAAAATAAAAAAAATAAAAAAAAAAAAGGAAAAAAAAATAAATAAAAATACAAGTGGACACCGTGGGAAAAAAAAACAAAAAACCCAGGAGAATGAATAAATACATTGTGGAATATTCACACAATGGAATAGTATATAGCAATGAAAGTGAATGTACTATGTGCAATGATATGGATGAGTCTCACAAACACAGAGTTGAAAGAAACCAAATGCAAAAGAGAACATATTGAATGATTCCATTTAGATAAAGGTCAAAAAATAGACAAAACTAATCTACGGTATCGTAAATCTAGATTGTGGTCACCCTTTGAGAGGTTGTGACTGGGAAGGGACATGAATGCTTTGGGGATGTGTTCTGTGACTTGGTTTGGATGCTTGTTCATTTTGTAAAAACAATCATCCAACTGAACATTTTTCTGCATGTGTTATACTTAAAAAGGTTCTTTTTTTTTGAGACAAGAGTCTTGCTCTGTTGCCTGGGCTAGAGTGCCATGGCGTCAGGCTTGTTCACAGCTACCTAAAACTTCTGGCTCAAGCAATCCTTCTGCCTCAGGCTCCCAAGTAGCTGGGACTACAGGCATGCACCACCATGCCTGGATAATGTTGTCTATACATTTTTAGTTGTTCAGCTAATTTCTTTCTATTTTTAGTAGAGGCGGCATCTCACTCTTGCTCAGGCTGGTTTCGAACTCCTGACCTTGAGCAATCTTCCCCCCTCCACCTCCCAGAGTGCTAGGATTGCAGGCGTGAGCCACCACACCCAGCCTAAAAAGTTTTTTAATTAAGAAAAAAACCAGAAGTGTTAATTTGTGCAAGTTTCCCTCAATTCACTTCAACATACATTCATATTATAATCACTGTATGAAGCACTGGTAGGTACTGTGGAGATGTGGAAGGATATCTCTGCCTTCCAGAAATTCATAATCTAGGAAGAGGCACAAAAATGAAAGCCGTTGCTTGAGGATAGTCTTTGATCTTATGCTAATTGTTGAGGAAGTCCAAAATACCTTGGAAGAAAGTTGGGAAAAAGAGTATGCAGCTCAGCAGAATTTCTGAGTTACAAGGAATCTTAAGATCTTCATAAGTTCTTGTGGGCCAGAGGCTAGGGTGATCAACTGTTTCAGTTTTCCCAGAGCTGAGGGTTTTCTCAGAATGTGGGACTTTTAGGTAGTCCTGGGCAGCCTGACATGGTTGGTCACCCTCATAGGGAGACCGAGCCTGATTCTTCTTTGAATTTATTGAAGTATCTAACACAAAGTCCAGCACATGAGAGATGTTCAGTATCTCAATGAGTATTTGTTAAAATTCAATGGAGGAAATGGTAACAGAAACAAAGGCACTCATTCACGTGATGCCAGTCATTTTTTGGGAGCAGGGAATAGTGAGAAATATTAGGCTAGGGCCAGGTTGAAGAGGGCCTTGAATGCCAGGCTCAATAGTATGGATTATATTTTATGGACTTTTGAACAGGAGTGACATGAAAAAAAATCTTGGTCATTTGTTAAATCTGGGTTACTGAAATGGTATGATTTAGCATAAGTAGAGTCTACAAGCTGAAGTCTAGGTAAAAGGTCATTATAGCAGTCCAGAAAAAAAATTAAATAGACTTTTAGAATTATAAGGGAACTAAGAAGTCCACTAATATAATGCTTTTCTTATTTTTTAACTAAAATTTTTTCTTATTATATTTTGGAAACTTTCTTCCATATCTTTTCTTCCTCCTTCTTAAATATTAATATTTATTCATAGTACTAATTTTATTTAAATTAATTTATTTTTTTGAAAAAGAGTCTTACTCTGTTGCCCAGGCTAGAGTGCCATGGTGTCAGCCTACCTCATGGTAACCTCAAACTCCTAGGCTCAAGCAATCCTCCTGCCTCAGCCTCCCGAGTAGCTGGGACTACCGGCACACCTATGCTCAGCTAATTTTTCTATTTTTAGTACAGATGAGGTCAGGTTGGTCTTGAACTCCTGAACTCAATCGATCTTCCTGCTTTGGCCTCCGAGAGTGCTAGGATTACAGGTGTGAGTCACCATGCCTAGCCAGTACTAATTTGAGTTAGTAACAAATGAAGGCCCAGTGGTAAAGTTACTTGTTCAAGATTATTCAGCATGTCCTTAGCAGTGCAGGGCAAGCA